AAATAAATCAGAGATTGCAATAGAATATGTTATTACAATTGATGTCAAAATGATAAGATATGTAGTTGCAGAATGTGTCACTAACTTGTTATGTCATCAGCTAGACACCACAGAAGGTTTCGAAAAGGAAATCTTTTCTTTTCACTTTTACTTTATTTTCTTAAAGGCACCATGTGAGCCAATACATAAGGGAAATTCGTACCATGAGGATGCAGGACATTTGACCATTCAGGTTGAGAAATAAGTTTTTATAACTTCGATAAAAGATCAGGGGTTGGTGATGGCAACGGTGATGTACGAAAGGCCATTCCAGTTTGCAGTAGTGTTTTGAGAAAAAGACCAGGAGGTGAGAGTGCAGGTTTCTAGCCAAAACTGAATGATAAAGAAAAAACATGTTTCAAATGCCACATTACTGTACAGGAAATTGCTGGATGCTCTCAATGTCTTGACCCTAAGAAAACTGCCCCGATCCAGTGGCCCAGGGGGGCTCTTAGTCACCTAGGGGGAGGGGGCAAATCTGCCTCTAACTGTGACTTGGTACGGGAGATGCTGCAATATGAACCTTTGCCCCCTCCCTCCTTCTGATGGAGAACCCTATGCTTAGGAGCATCCCTATGTCCTAGGAGCATGCATTTACTAAGTGTTTGAAGGGATGATCACTTCCACTAAACCTTGTAAAATGCGAATACCTTTACTGACCCTTGTAAAATGTGAATATGTCTGAACCATATGAATGCCTAGAATTTTCTTCCATCATGTTTATGACTCTTTAAGAACAACGGGCCTGCGACGAAAGACAGAAGGTAATGGTTACGAGAAACAAATTATTTTTAATGTATCCTAGAGCCATCATATTTTCATATAGGATAGCTTGTATTGCCCCTGAAACAGTGGCTCCTCAGCAGTGAGATAGTAAGGCTTATCTTAACATGACATGACATGGACATGAATTTGGTTTTTGCAAGCCAGCTTTCTCATATTTATGTATTGTAGTGAAGTGAACTTCTATCCATGATGGCGATGCCATCTTAGGTGTGTTAAGGTCTACTGTGCACAGTGGTTTGAATGTTGCAAAGTACATTCTCATCCTGGCCTTCCATCCCTAACTGGCCAGGGCTATGTCTTCTCTGTGAAATGTCATGGATTTGGATGGTTGCAGGTGATAGACTTGGACAAGACTCCGCTCATGGCACAACACATTTATCAAACGCATGACACTCAAAAATGAAACAGGAAGTACAGATAATCTTAAAACAGCAAACATGAAAGAGTAGAGATTCCTTACATGCATTAACTAAGCAGTAGTTTTATTGAGTCTTTGCTTATGGTGGTCTTTGCCGGCCACAGCACCTGAGTCTGGGATCACACATGCCGCATCCCTGTTGGTGGTCTTGACGCTTTTCATGAATGCCTCCTTTCTTGCCGCTGCCAAGTAGTCACACGTGCCCACATGACGTCGTTGCTGATGTGGCGGAGGCCTCTGAGATCAGGCCTAGTGAGGGTTGGTGGTATCTAGCACTCGGAGTCAATTCGGCTCACCAAGAACTGTCTTTGGCATCTTAAGAGCTTCGAAGGGGGCTTGTTGTGCAGAGTCGCTGCATTGCCTTGTAGACTCTCTTGAACAGGGTTGAGGTCGCTGGCCTCCCTCATAATTCCTGTGTCACAGGCAGCCGTATCAAACTTCTGCCACTCCCGTCGCCAGAGCGTGTGCTTGTGGTGCAGCCTTACAGTGCCCAGCCCACGTACACAATGCTCGCTCATCCTTCTCCTCATCTTGCTTCATAGCTTGGTTCATGTACCTACTTGAGCATTATTTCTGCGCTGTCTTCTTTGCTTTTAAAGGGCTGTTACTCATGATAGCCGTGCTGAACAGCTTCACTGGTTATCCACCTTCGCAGAGTGGATTAGTTTCTCATCTTTTTTTTCTTTCTTAGTCCAGGTCTCTTGCAGGGTGTCTACCAACCTGGAAAACTTAGAAAAGTCAGGGAATTCGGACCCTTCTGGAAAAGTCATAGAAAAGTCGGGGAATTTCCGAAAGACCTGGCCAGGTCATGGAAACTGACAGCAGTTCTGTGTGGCCGACACAAAAATAAGCACTAACATTGATCAAAGCTTAAAGAATTTTTTTTAACTGCAACTACAGTGAGCTGCTAGAAAAGCTGTGAAAAAAAAAAAACAGTTCATAAACATTGCTTTTAGTGTAAACGCGAAAGAATACACCGTTTCTTGAAACACAAAGTTTACTGATGTTTTGGCACCCTATATGGAGAAAGCCTTGTTCACAATAAATGCCATTAGAAAGGCACAGCGTACTCCGCCTAAATATGTGACGTAAGCAGTGAGAGTGAGTTGTCGGAAAGCGTCCCATCACTGCTAGTCAGTGTATGTACACTCGTCTGTATCTGGGCTTCAGGTGCAGGCATGATCCAAGCTTCTTTTATAAGCGGACTATTTTATAGTCGCACCTACTCACAAATCCGGTGTTGACGATGTTGTCTACAACCCTACTCACATGCTTGGGTCTCGCGTCTCGTACCGCATGCTCGTGCCTCAAGCTAACTGTTGCTCCCCCATCTCTTTCCTCGAAAGGCAGTGTCTGCTAGTGGAAACTGAATGCTCGCGCTGCACATGCGTTCACTAGCGACCCCGTATATGTAGGCACTGGATTAAGCGTTGGTAATTCAGTCAAGGGTGTCTTTACTCTGCTTTCGCTTGACTTGGCACTTTTCTGAACTCGAGTAGATGCAATGGAAGCAACAGTACCTTCAACCAGTAGTGGGGCACAATCCAACATCAGTGTCTCGCCACTGTTGAAAGGCAAAGCTTTTCTGTCAATCAATAAATATTAATGATAAAGACGAAATAACAATTAAGCATTCCCAAACCATACCCAATTACGCAACATTCACAAGATACCCCCACCACTCTGCGACACATTTAGAGTCCCCCGTGGGAAGATGCGCGTTTCTCTTTGCCCAGAACACACGGGTTTGACCAGTCTATTTGGTGGTCTGTAGATTCTGCATGTTCAGTGAGGGCAGTCGAGGTCATGCGTTTTTGTGGTGGCATATTTGTGTTGCTTAACCTTTTTCTTGAAATCACCAGTTCCACTGGTGTACTGGTTGTCACAATTGTGGCAGCCAACTTGACATTCACATTGACGAAAGCATTCCTTAGCTTCCTTCTTGGAACATGCACTATTTTGATGTATGTCGCTTCTACATGCCACATGGTATATCTGACTTTCGAACCAAAAGATTACTCACATCTGTAAATTTATGCATGTTCGTCTATGCCACGATTTTGGCTCTGCTTGAAGGCCATGTGGTTTGGTCTAAGCTAGAACTGCCCTGCATTTTATTATTATTATTATTATTATTATTATTATTATTACTATTATTGGTGATGCAACAGCAAACATCCTCAGCTATGCAATTATTGCTGGTGGCTCATGCTTCAAGGGTACCACTTGTGTAACTGCAGCTAAATTTCTTATTTCAGTTTGGTGAGATTGTGTAAATAAATCTGCAAATATTCTTTAGCGTGACTTCCACAGAAGGGTATGCAAATCAAGGTAACGTGCTGACATCTGTGCTTCATCTGTGGAATCGAGGTAGGTGTTGCACCGTGACAGAATCCTTCTTGCGACCACATATTCAAACGTCGGTGCTTTAAACGCTGTCCTCAGCTTTCACTGCAGCCATCCGAGGTCTGTTGCACTTCAAGCGTCAGAGCCCAGAGACACAAAATACAAACATTTGTGTGCTCATCGGGGAAAAAAAATAATTTTGAAGTACGTTTCTGTGCTTGCAACGTTGTCGTTACTCGCTGTCAAGGCAATGTACACAGAATACTCGAGTAGTAGTTATTCATTTTTTTTGCTGAAAAGTATATTTTAGAGGTGCGCAAATTACGTGGGGGCACAAATCGGTAGTAAATGCAGCAATCCAGATCGAATCAGATCTAATCCAATCCATATTCTAAATAGTCGAGTCAATGAATGCCGCAGTTCAGGTCAATGTAATTCAATTCAATCCAATCCAGATCCTAAGCGGTGTGCGCTATAGTCATTATAGTGTTACGCAGTCGTTTCGTGGACTGAATGAAGCAGGCTGCGGGTCAAATAATAAACTGTTTATTTGGGCGAACCTGTGTCGGTAAACGGAAAGTTTTGCACTGATAGTGGCGAACAGAGCGTCGTTCGATGATCAACTGACAAGCGTCGAAGCGCATCGGCATTTATACACTGGCCATCGATCGTTCTAGCGTTATCGCTAGCGGTGACGTAGGTTCCACAATAATCTGAAACGTTCACAAAGTGGGCGTAATCTCAACAAAAGGATCTACTCCCTCAAAGCTTTTTGAACATCGTAGGCGTGGCTTGCACTGAACGTAGTGTAACAGTGTGATAACAAAATTTTAGGAAAGGAACGCGGCAATAGTAAACTACATTACACTCCAGCGACAGAACCGACCAGGCTCCCGTGTCCTCATTTTACAGGGATGCCGCAAGATGGCGCCACTTCTATGTTTCCAAGCAGCTTTGATTGCGATGTCGGACTATAGCAGGCTCCTTCAAACTTTCATCTTTGGTTACTTTCAACTGGTGTGTTTTCTTTGTGGTTCTTCCGAACATCGAACAGCTAACTTGATCACTGCCTGCCTCAGGGATTTTATTTTGGCCAGATATAGATATTTTTTCACATTCACCGCAAGCGTTCAGAACGTTCTGAATGCATCTGGTAAATATGTTTACTTATTTTATATGGAGCGCCTGTTTTTTTTTCTTTTTTTGCCACTCAAGGGCTTGTTTTCAGTGCACAAGTTTTGCAAGCAGACGTGGCAGTCATGGAATTTGCTTTTATTCATCATGAAAAACCTGGAAAAGTCAGAGAATTTATTAATATCAAATTAGTAGACACCCTCTCTTGTTTTGTAAGCCTAGATGACTATAGCTGTACGAACAATGACCTCTCAATTAAAGACCACACCCATTGCAGGTGCTCCCTGTGTCCAAAGGTATTTGGCACAGCCCGAGACATGGGCATCCATGTGCGCCGACACGAGGGTGTCAAGCCATACACCTGCAAGGACTGCAACAAGGCCTTCTGCACTCCTTTCGAGCTGGACCAACATGTCCGCACACACACAGGCGAGCGTCCTTTCAAGTGTCCAACATGTGCATGTGCGTTCGCCACATTGTCCACATTGCTCCGACATAGCAACACACACCGCCGGTCCAACTCTGTGATGTACCGTTGCAGCGTATGCCCCTCGCTTTTCCGGTATGCTGTCACTTGTGCTGCACACGAACGAACTCATCGAGCTGACTGCACACACCGTTGCAAAACGTGCAACAGAGTCTTCCCGCGGGCATTTAATCTGAAGCGCCACATGAGGCTGCACGACAGCGATGAGCCTCACGTCTGTAACATGTGCGATCGCTCCTTCTACAAAAAGGAACATCTCAACATGCACTTGCAGAGCTGTGGTAAGTTTCGTAAATGTGAAACCTGCGGGAAGGGATTTCTAGAAGAGGCTCAGTTGGAAACGCACATTGCCAGCCAGCATGACTTGGCTACTGAGTCGTTGGAAGAAGCCCGACTGGGTGACTTATTGTTTGAGCAGGCACCTGCTGATGACGAGTCAAGTAGCGAGGATGGTAGTGGTTCGAATGACCTGCTCAGCGCTGACCAAATGACAACAAACTCAGGATGGAGTGTTCGCCTGAGAGTGCGGGGCAAAACAAATGCCCCTAAGGCTCCTGCGAGACGTCATCAACATGACCTCAGGTATGGTATAGTGCCTTCCCAAAACCTGCAGTGTAGCAGCACAAGGTCACTACCACAAAAGCAGGTCACTGGGGAATGTGGGACGGATGAGGCAAGCAAGAGCCCTGGCAAAGCTGCAGATGGAACACAAGATACAAGCATTCCTATCTATCAGTGCCCGAGCTGTAACTGATCGGTTTAAAGAGTGGGCCGCCTTGAAAGCCCATGCAGCCGTTCGACACGAGCTCGTTCTCTCGTCGTCATCGTTCCAGTTTGCGTGCCACATCTGTGATAAAACCTTCAGGCAGAACAGCAACTTGAAAACCCATTTGAAATCGCATGATCGGGTGGTCCAGTTTGAGTGCGATATCTGTGGCATGGGCTTCACTTTGAAGCACCACTACAGACGGCACAGAAGTAACATACACTACAAAGACTGAGTGCAACAACAGCCCATTTAAAATGCAAGGTTATTCTTAGCAATGTCAATTTTTATGAAGACTTGTCTACCAAAATTAAAATTTGAGCTTTTTGTGTCACTGCTACACTGTGATACAGGTTCTTCTTACTGCTTTGTCTTTCCTGATCTGAGCCTCAAAGAGTCTTATTAATAAGGACAAAGCCGTCCGCTTCACAAACAACACACAAACGTTTAATCAAGAATTAAAGGCAAAAAACCAACACAAACTACAAGAAAATCAATACTTGAATAAAAGTTAGCTTTAAAAGGAAAAAAAACATCTAACGTCCCCAAAATTTAGGCTCAAAGGCAAAGCTGCATGACACAGACTGTCTCCGACGCGGCGATTCGGCATAGCAGGAAAGATCGCAAGCTCTGTCTCGCCAAAATGTTGCGGCTTCTGTGGTAATGTTAACAGATGCTTCCTGGTAGAGGTGATAGAACAGGGTTTGCTCGGAATGCATTTGGCGATCCAGATTCGTCCGATGAGGCGGCCGGTGCAAGGCTCAAGCCCGTGGCCCAACTGCCGTTGCTACACCTGCACCGGAATCTGCAGACTTTGGTCTCAAACACCGTGGCAGCCTGCACTCCCTCGAAGGCTCTGTCCGGAGGCCCAAGCCAGGTGAAGTCCAGAAGGCTCGGGTTCATCACCTGACTGCCCATCTTCAGCTCCCAGCCACGGCCTTCTTCTCGCCTTGTTGACCTCGAACTGCCAGCTCTCTTGCCCTTCAGGTTTTGCTTACCCTGAGGCACACTTGTCTCATCCCGATTAGCTTTTTAGAACTGCGTCGTGATGAGCTTCTGGCTCTTGTTTTTTTCATGATTTTAATGCTTGTGCTCTGCGCTCTCACACCCACTAGTCCTCGACGTCGTCGTTGCTGTTTAGGTGACGCAGTGCTGTCAGCCTTTTTTTAGTTTCGGGCACTTTTGAAACATTCATGTAACGCCCATAACTCTCATCACACAGGCCAATTAGTAACTATATTTTATATAAGAACATGCAGTGTTTGGATGTCTTTTAGATTCTTGGTTGACTTGAAATAAGTGTCACAGTGTATATAAATATATATATATATATGTTTGTTGAAAGCAAGATGTTTTCTCTGCATAGAGTTGCATGGTAAATGAACATATGACAATAATTATGCATGAGAAGTGCATGCAATAAACAATGGGTGTTCTGAACCCATTTGAACAAAAACTTGGAAGTTGCTCGAGTTGAACACGACAGCCTAACCGGGCCTCCCGCACGTATCACCATCTCAAGTGCTAGCCTGGCATCGGTCCTCGGTGCATGCCTCAACCGTGCCATAAGGAAACAAATGCCTTTGTGTGTGACATTGGCCATTTTACATTATCCTAGAATGTCCACTGCAAGCACAGCTACTAAGTGCCCACTATGTCATAATAATCCTTTTGTGAATCAGCAAGGGTCTCGCTGCACGCTCATAAAACAACACGCGAACCTGCTCAGCTGTTTACTGTGTTCATGGTTCTGCGAATGAAGATGATTAAAAATTCGGCACAGAAGTAAGAATGAAGACAAAGATAGAAAAAAGTGATATGGACAAGTGCACTTCGTCGTTCGTCTTCATCCTTCTGTGCCCACGAATTGCATCCCAGCTATGCACCAACTAAGCCGACTGCAGACGTTATTGATGATTGAATATGTCTGAGTGCTTTGTAGTGGGTGTGCCTGTAAAACATCCACTTGTTGCACAGTTGACATGTTTTGATGCTTGGTGCACTCCTGCCATGCAATATTGAATGCATTAAGGAGACTCGTTCCGCTGCATGACATTCATACATTAGCGTTTCTTTTTCAAAGCAGCTTTAAGCAAGCATGACTCTGTGGTAGAACATCTGCTTGCCACACAGACAGGCTGGCATGAATTCACACTTGAACGGGAGATTTTTATTAAGTATTTTTATTTGCATCTTGACTTTTATATTGCATCAAGATGATGTTTCACTGACAACCATGGACACTGACACCGCAATTTCTGCAAAACAAGCTCTTTAATGCTACTGTGTTAAGATTTTGTATATGGAACAATCATGAGTGAGACATGTCAAGCTGGAATTTCAGTTGTAAATGCTCAAAGTACTACTCTTTTTGTGTAAACTTTTTCAAGTGAGTTTAGAACATCCATCGTTGCTTTACTTATTGCCGTGTATTTCTTGGCAAATCAAAGACATTTTGACCATTTCCGTCAATGTATTCGCTCATCCACTGACATCTTGGTTCCCTCCTGGTCACCTAGCATAGGAGGATTCATGTGATTGACTAGTGAGGATGAGAATGATATGACATGCTTGTCTGCATGCATTATGAAATGTTTTTCTTTTGTTTATATTGGCTGTTCTGTTCACATCTACGAGTGATATAATCTGTATCAACTAAGAAACAACAAATTTAGACACTGAAAATTAAAAAAAAAAATTTGCATGGGTTATAGAAAGATGCTTTTCTTTGTTATAGTTGGCAATTTTGTTGTGGTGGACATTGCTTAAAAATATGCTGCAATGACTGTTGACCAGCTAACGCATGGTACAGATCGTGAGTCAATGTATTACACTACCCGTGTTGTCTATCTTCAGTTGTGGTGGTGGTGGTGCTTGTGTTTAATTTGTGGTAGCAATAGTGGCTAACTGCTTTATAAGTTTAATTATGTAGTAGTGTCCTTATTGTAACATGAATGGCATTGCCTTCTGCATAGGCTACCATTTAGGTGCCAGTGCAATTGATGTGCTTGATATGCGCACAATATGGGAACAGCTATGCAATTTTATGCAACAACTATGCAATTTATTTTCATTTTGTCTGCATCTCAGTTTTCTGCCATTGAATTTTTTTAATAATCGAGCATTTTACTTTTTAACAATCTGTTTTGTATCCAGTGGCTGATTCAGAGGGGGGTGGTTGTAGGGGTGATCCTCACTTCAAAGTCTGCGTCAGCTCCTCCCCCCTCACTTCAGTGCTCGTAGTCCACCTCCTATCACCAATTAGGACAAAGGAGTGATAGCACTGTGAGCACACATTAACAGTATTTATTCTTTGAAGGCGTTTTTTCTGCCAGCAAAAACAAAGTCATGACCACGGCGCCCCTTTTCAGTGTTAGTTCAAACGACCGCCCCCTGAACCAAGTGGGTGGAACTGCCCCTGTACCTTTTGTCACTGTGTTGAAAAATTTTTTCTTTGCATTTTTCTTTTGTGTCCCTCATACATCACTCACATTTATGTCTAATACACTGGGCTGTGCCAGTGATGCCAAGTGATAACATGGGACCAGGCTTTGTCAAGCTGCTAGGAAGCAGCTTTCTCCCACCACCCCTTCTCTCTTCTTGAAATGAATAAAATTTTTATTGTTTTATTGAACATCCAGAAAATCGAAATAAAGTGTGGTGGTTCAGAAAAAGCATTCAAACATGGGTGCTTATTCTTTGCTTCGTTTCAGGTATTGAGAACTATCGGTGGAACCATACATAGTACCTAATCAAAGGTGCTTTATGTAACAGACGTGGAAGATTTTAAGGTGCAAGCCTCCACTGGCAAATGAGACACTGGCTTTGAAAAATGCAGCATGTGGTGCAGAGGCTCATGGGACCTTAATAGAAATTGCATAATACAGATTGAGGGTTCAAGCCTGCTGTAACCCATTGAACGACGCGACCCAAGCTCTCAAGTGCGCATGTGCACAATCTTATTCCCCTTCCCTCTCCCCCTTACTTTCCTATATATATTCACGAGTGTGAATAAAACTGGCCGTTCTTTTCTGTTGGCATGGTCCGACTGTCACGTTTACTGCTGGAGCGGCGTGGCCGCCTCCCAACTAACAGTGGCGACGAGAATACCCACCGATACGTGTAAGCCGGGCGCCAGCGGCGAGACCAAGACGAAGACGCCCATCAGCCCGCCCGCAGCCATGGCCCTCAAGCTTCCGGATTTTGCAGAGGAGACAGATAAGTGGCAAGCATATCTCGTTAAGATTGACGCCTACTTCGAAGCGAACGAAGTTACGGACGACGCGAAGAAAAGGGCCTTGTTGGTGGCTGCGTTAGGATCGAGGACCGTTGAAATCCTTTGTGGCAGAATCGCACCGCGAAAACCAAGCTCGCTGAGTTACGAAGAAGTTGTTTCAACCTTGAACGAGCACTATGATCCGTCCCCTAACGAGATATCAGAAAGCTTCAAGTTCTTTCACCGAAACCAACAAGAAGGGGAGTCCGTGCAGGCGTCTATCGTCGAGATTCGCAAGCTAGCGCATAACTGCAACTTCTCCTCAATGTTGGAGCGAATGCTGAGGGACCGCATCGTTTGTGGAGTGCGCTCGAAAAACCTGCAGAAACAACTATTAGCCAAAAAGGACTTGACGCTGGCAGAAGCGGAAGCACTAGCTCTAGCAGCCGAAAGCGCGGAGTTAGGGTCGCAACAGATGACCGGGCAAGGTGACGCCGTTGGGGTGTTCAACGTGCAGCGTAGCAGGCAACCCGAAATCAGCAGGAGCGAACGGAGCAGCTTATCGCAGCACTGCAGCTGCTGTGGCAAACAGGGACATCAAGCCAGGGAATGCTCATTACGACGGCGCAGGTGCTACAAATGTGGGCGACAAGGTCACTTGGCGCGAGTATGCTCCCGGACAGCCACCACCAACAGAACCTTCGCGATAACAGAGTGTTCAGCGGAAAGTGAAGATAACGATTGTAACGCACTACAAATATGGTCAGTGAAGGGTAATGGAAGCCTGGTTCCGCCCCTACACAAGCAGGTTACATGGAACGGAGTGCCACTGAATATGATAATCGACACAGGTTCACCTATCTGCGTAGTGCCTAAAGCGATATACGAAGCCTATCGTCATAAGTGGCCACCGCTTTGTAAAGCCGCATTAACTCTGTCATGCTATCTTGGGAAGATACCAGTGCGAGGCATTGTCAAAATGCAAGCTTCCTACAAGTCTGCAACAGTTGACTGCGATCTCGTTGTGTTAGACTGCGAAGGTCCTAGCCTTTGCGGCCGTGACCTGTTACAGATGCTCGAGACACAAGGGGCACCGCTTCTTCACATCGCGTCACTCTCATCGGACGGGAAGCTGGAGAGTCGGACAGCGGCACCCGTGCTGGAACAGTACGCAGACCTTTTTGCGGAGGGCCTGGGAGCCATCAAGGGACCACCAGCACGGCTTCATATAAAGGACGGAGCAACCCCAAGGTTCTGTAAGGCAAGAAAAATTCCATTTTCTTTGCTAGACAAAGTGTCCGCCGAGCTAGATCGACTCGTGGCCGAAGGCATTATTACGCCAGTTTCCTATTCAGAATGGGCAACCCCGGTGGTGCCAGTGCTGAAACGTGACGGAACAGTCCGCATCTGTGGCGATTTCAAAGTTACTCTAAACCCAGTATGTGAAATGGAAAGTTATTCTCTACCCGTAGTGGACGACATTTTCGCTACGCTTCGTGGAGGGCAGCAGTTCAGTATCTTGGATCTACGTGATGCCTACAACCAAATTCTTCTAGACGAAGATTCGCGCAAGTTAGCGGTTATAAACACTCACAAGGGCCTCTTTTGTTATATCAGGCTACCGTTTGGGATAGCCTCGGCCCCTGCGATTTTTCAACGAACAATTGAGCAGGTGCTGCAAGGCCTCCCAGGGGTTCAAGCGTACTTAGACGACGTCCTGATAGCAGATGCGAACGATAAGCCAACTGCGAACCTGCAAGCAGTCTTGCAGCGGTTCAGGGAGTACGGCGTGAAGCTCCGCGCGGACAAGTGCCGAATAGGTGAGGAGTCAGTTACGTATCTAGGACACAGAATTGACGCGGCAGGGTTGCACCCGTCAGACAAGAACATCGAAGCAATTAAGCTGGCACCGACTCCTCACAATGTCACGGAATTGCGGTCTTTTTTGGGCATGCTAACTTTCTACAATAAATTCTTGCCTAATCTGTCCACGCTCCTGAGTCCCCTATACCTTCTTCTGGAAAAGAAATCGAAATGGTCTTGGGATGAGCGCGAAAACGATGCCTTCCGAAAAGCAAAAGCCGTTTTGTGTTCCGCGCCTGTGTTAACTCACTTCGATCCCGCACGAGAGCTATTTCTGGAGTGCGACGCGTCACCCTACGGTGTGGGAGCGGCACTATTCCACCGAATTGAAGGACAGTATCAGCCCCTTGGATTTCGATCCAGGACGCTTACTGCCGCAGAAAAGAATTATGCACAGATTGAACGTGAGGCGTTGGCTCTGGTTTATGGCGTCACGCGATTCCGAAATTATCTGCTGGGCAGACAGTTCACGCTTCTAACTGACCATCAACCACTGTTGGGTCTCCTAAGAGCGGATCGTCAGACGCCGGCTATGGCCGCTGCGCGCATTCAGCGTTGGGCCATCATACTTGGTGCCTACCGTTATCGGTTGCAACATCGACCGGGTAAACTCATGTGCAATGCTGATGCTCTTAGCCGTCTACCCCAACCATTGCAGGAAGAAGTGGACCAGGAGGACGAAGCTCAAGTTCTGACCCTGGACCAGTGGGATCAGCCGGCCCTGCCATGGAAGGAACTCCAGGCACTCGCCGTCGCGGATGAGGTACTTTTCCAGGTACGCAAGTATACCCGGGAAGGTTGGCCGAAAAAAACTCGACACGGAAACTACAGAAATCGCCGATTTTTACAAAAGGCGGCATGAGCTGTCTGTTAGTGAAGAACTTCTTTACTGGGGCCATCGCTTTGTAGTGCCGACAGCAGCACGCGGGAAGTTGCTAAGGCTACTGCATGAAGCCCACCAAGGAATTTCCACCATGAAGGCGAAGGCCAGATCGTTATTTTGGTGGCCCGGCGTAGAGCAAGACATCGAGCGCGTTGCGGCGACATGCCAAAACTGTGTGCAAGCGTTGCCGATGGCTCAGGCAAAAGAACCAGTAAATTGGCCCGAGACGCACGAAAGGTGGTCGCGGTTACATGTGGACTATGCGGGACCAGTAAAAGGGAAAATGTTACTCATCGTTGTCGACGCGCACACCAAGTGGATTGAGGCGCTTCCCGTGTCGCAGGCCAACTCGCATAGCACAGTCGAGGCCCTCAGAACGATATTTAGCCGTTTTGGTATACCGCGCACGGTGGTTTCTGACAACGGGACGCCATTCACGGCACGAGAGTTCGAGCAGTTCATGGAGCGCAATGGCATTGCGCATATTCGAACACCTCCCTATCACCCCCAGAGTAATGGACTAGCAGAGCGAGCCGTGCGCACTATCAAAGATGGCTTGAAGAAGATAGGCGGCACTTGCCTCCTCACCTCACTGGCACGTGTATTGTGCAATTATCGGAACGCACCACACCAGGAGGGTCCTTCTCCCTCAGAGAGGCTATTAGGATACCGTCTGCGCACAAGAATGGAGATGTCTTTTCCTTCCAGAGTCTATCCTGCCAAAGCTGCGAGTGACCCAGGCTGGAATTTCGCACCGGGAGACTACGTGTACGTGCGAAATTACGGCGCCGGAGACAAGTGGTTCCCAGGCACAGTGGAGGCTACGCGTGGCACTCGCCTCCTGGAGGTAAAGACTGTGGATGGCCTTGTCCGCCGCCACGTGGATCAAGTTCGACAAGCGGAGCCCAGATGAAACGCCAGCAGCCGACGACATGTCGAGGCCATCTACACCGGTTTCCCCAGGGCCGGTACGACTAGAAACAACGGCGCCGGCTACCTCTCAGAGTACCCCAGAATCGCAACCATACGTACTACGTCGCTCCACACGAGCCAAGAAACCGGTCGTGCGTTTTGGCTACTAAGGGGGAAGAAATGCTGTAACCCATTGAACGACGCGACCCAAGCTCTCAAGTGCGCATGTGCACAATCTTATTCCCCTTCCCTCTCCCCCTTACTTTCCTATATATATTCACGAGTGTGAATAAAACTGGCCGTTCTTTTCTGTTGGCATGGTCCGACTGTCACGTTTACTGCTGGAGCGGCGTGGCCGCCTCCCAACTAACAAAGCCAGAACCTATAACGAAGCTGTTCTACATGGCAGTAAAGTGTCATGCTTCAGATCCATGCAAGTGCGTAAAACTGCTCAGGAAAAACTTGGACCATCTTCCCGAAGAAGACCCTGATGGAATGCAAAGCAGCAGCGTTGCACACGGATGGCATCACGGGTTGAATGGCACTAACACAAGGGCGCTGGAAGATCTATGAACGCTGGAAGATCCGTTTGAACTGATGGCTTGCATAGGTCTTGTAGGTGACATGTACAGACATGTTTAAATGCATACGTTAGGCGTGCGTCAGGTTTATTGCCTGTGAACAAGTGAGTCCGCAATGTAGCGAGCGGCGGTCGCTGCAGGAGTTGGAGGCGAATGAATGAGGCGGCAGCTGCGGGCGCCATGGCGAGCCAACACCCTGGGCGAGCGCGTGGCAGGCAATGG